CATTCATTACGAGTTGAGCAAAAAAACGATTTTTTCTACTTGTGTAACAGCTATTTAAATAATATGGCCAAAAACAGAATGTGGAAGCTTCAAATCTGGAAAACTCAAATTTCTATGTAAATTGTTGTCATTTCCATTTTCTTTTAGTTTAGTACAAGTCACGGCAGCTGTACAGCTTAGATCATTGATGCGCCTCCTAAAAATAATGTATCAAGTTTATCGCTAGCCATGAAATTATACGTTAACGGGTGAAGCTCGATGCTATAAATTGCATGTTTGGAACTGCGAAGCACGATGAAAACGGCAATTGGCAGACTAGATTCAGAGCTTAACGAGACTAAAACGTAGGGATGTACGTATCAACAGATTTAGCGAAGGGAAAGCCACTATTTACGTAAAAATGGAGAGCAAACTTTGTCTGAGCCATTTTCTTAGAAAAAATTGCTAGTGACTAAAATTGCAAGTGAATTCGAGCAGCATTTGAACCAGTAAGCTTTCATAACTATATGACTTGCTTTGTCCAAGTACAGCATAGACAAAACCTATCGAAAACTCTAGTCAAAGCTCTAGTCAAAGAAGGCAGAAACCGAACTTTTTACTGCGAAAATTCTTTAGACAAGAAATTCGTTTTCGAAACTCCAATGTTCATATATTGTTTACGGTTCTAAAAGACCATAGTTCCGCTGCTTGAACTACCTTAGTACCCTCAGACCTTGTAGGTAAGTCTTCATTCGTGAAAGCTTGATTTTCAGTTCAAATCATTAATTCCTGTAAATGTTCTGACTTGCATTTCTACGGATGAGTCTAATGCTCTAAAAACTTCTCAGTTGTAGATTGCTGGCTACTTCTGTCTTTATACAAATGAAATCTAAGTTTTTACCTAATATTGGATTTCGTTGAACGATTTTTTTTGTCCTCAGCCCTTGTTTCGCAGTAAGACCCTTGCATTTTAGCACTTCACATTTTGAAAGGATTTCGGATGTCATGCAACAAGCTTTTTGTCCAATAATGGAAATTAAGTAAATCTAAGGTTCAAATATCAAGCTTTCGATGGACGTAAGGAACAAACTTTATCAAATGCCCTGAAATATCACCTATGCTAGACCGATGAACTTTATAACAGTGGATTAGGTCTTATCATCAAAAAAGCAACAGCTTCTTCTCTTGCATTACTCTGAAGTGACCTTTGAAAAGTAGTAACACCCTATGGACCCTTTTTTGTTATCGAATTACACGCTGATATTTGATCTTGACTAGAAAAACAGACTATGATTCACTTGTTTCATCAGTTCACTTAGGGTCAGTTTAGATGGGACAATATCAAGAGACTCAGCTTTTTGAAACTTTCTCATAGAATCTATAGATTTTCTTGAAAATTGAAAATCAATTTGGGGTAGTGACAATGAAGTTTCCTCTTGGCAATTTGAAGTTATGTTGACCTCGAATAAAGAAAAAAAATTTAAAAAACATTTGCACCCTAGGACTCAGCGCACACTGTCTCTGCGCTCGATGAATTGCCTTTAATCGGCATTTGAACTTTTGAAAATTACCTCAAAGACCTTTTAAATCTTATGGACCCATACTCGAGGGCGGCGAAGCTGTAAAGGAAGGAAAAGAATCGAATGTGGCGCATTTCTTAGTCAAATTGCTCGTTCACCACAGATTTGGTAGAGAAATGCCGATGAAATTGCCTGTGATTCCATTAACGGTCAAAGCCAAATGAATAGAGCCTGCAGCATAAGTTATGAAGCTGAGTGACGTCATTTTATATCTTATATAGAGTTAATTTATTGTTTGCAGATGTACCACCGACTTTTCGATGCCGGTAAGAAACGTGCAGCGCTGTCGCCGTCAGCTGATTTGCAAAATGCCATGGATTTGAGCAGCTACCTGGAGCGAGCCGGAAGAAAGTGAATAGAAATAAAATTCGAGATCAACAATCGACTGATAATTCCATCTACACGATTCTTACACTAGGATGCACCACAACTCTTTTGATTGATTTGAATAGTTGAGTATTTTGTGTATAGCTGCCTTGAGCGATGATGACACACCACCTGCAATGCGCGTGATGCTTATGATGATCTCAGCTTGGTGATAAATCTTGAACTAGTTTGTACAAAAATCAATAAAAGCATAAACGCCTTTTTGTTAGAAGTGGAATACAGATATTTTTATGAATTATTCTTAGCGAAATCGACTTGTTCATAAGAACCTGAAAAATGTTGAGAATACTTTGCACACAGAGTTTGTTTTTCAAATTTTCGAGAACTCGCAACTATTAAACATCTCTTGCATGAAATTAGGGCCCTGCGACGGTTTTATCGCGATAAAATACGTCGATGGTGTAAACAAAAACGTCAGTAAAGTTTCGATATATTAGGTTAAACCGTTCTGTCGCACCACTTTCAAAAATTCATAACTTATCC